TGTGTGTGTGTGTGTGTGTGTGTGTGTGTGTGTGTGTGTGTGTGTGTGACTGGTGTGTGCCCATTTGTGTGTATGAATATGGGAATCCACATGTGATGGCTCAAATGTGGTCTGAAGGCAACCTTGCTGTTGGTCCTCTTGTGAGACAGGCTCTCTTTGTTGTTATATATTTGTATAACCCCTATACATCCATACACAATGAGGACAATGTGATAGCCGACATTTGTGAAGTTCTTTCTAGATGTCAGTTATTGTATTTCACATGTCCAATATGAACATTGTACATCTTCTAGAAGCAGAAGATATAGGCACAAACCAGAGCCTTCCTGCCCTAGGCTAGGGCTTATACCCTTAGCTTCCTGCCTCTGTTGAAAGGGGACAGTTGGTCTCTTACTCTGAAAGATGACAGAGTAAGAGACTCTGTAAGGGGACTCTCACCTGACCTCATCTCTTCCATTTCAGACCCTTTAAGAGGTGGCTGTGTTCCAGTGTGTCTCTGGCTAGTAGGAAGAAGATGTATTGACTTGCTGTGGCACATGGCTCAGATATGCTATTCCAGGCCTTGTCTCCTAGGGCCAGATGTTTGCACTCATTTCTTGTGTCCCATCCTGCTCGCTTCCTTAGGAACTACCCAGTTCTATTAACTGTCCTGCCTTTAACCCTCTGAAGCTGGGTGTTCGAGTTGACATTCTGAAAGTGCATCCTTCCTTGCAGAACCCCATAGATCCAGTACAGCTAATGAAAAAGTCTTCCCAAATGCAAACTCCTTCCAAAAGTGAGACACTTCCACGTCTCTGTGGGTTAAAAAGTACAACAGAAGTCTTGTCCTCAAGGGGTCCCCTGAAGATCTCTGGAGAAGCTAATTCCTGAAACTCAAAGCACTAACCAGAGCGCCTTGTCTAGAGCTCAAGGTCAAAACTATCTATGCCAACATCTTCGAGTCCATAATGTGACCACTCCCCAAGATGCCCACGGAGTAAAATTGTGCTCAGCAAGAGAAGAAAATGCCAATGAAGTTTAAATTTGTTTTCCCAGACTTCTAGTGAGTTGGGAGGAATGGCCCCACCATGTGCCATAGCCCCATTCAGCTTTGGTACTTCTCTCTGCTTTCCCTCTTTAGGAGGAAACTGGTAAGCCCCACCCCTTCCACTCATCATCACCTGAGAGTCTCTGGGCTGGCATGGGTTGACTATGACCTGCCCGATGCAGGTAGCCTGTGTCTGAAGTACAAGGCTGAAAAGAAACCTCAGCCAACCTCTTTGGGGCTGGGTTAAAGCAGTGCAAATGTTGGAATACAGCTCAAACACCACACATACACAAACACACACAGACACATAGAAACATGCACATAGACACACACAGATGCACATAGACGCACACACAAACATACACATACAGAGAGACACACAGACACAGAGACACAGAGACACAGACAAAGACACACAAACATACACACAGATAAACACACACACATACACACGCACACTCAACCAGGCATGCATCTTCCACAAAGGTTGGGTTTTGGAGGCCTCATGTCTGACAACATTCTGTCATCACTCAATAGGGCCCTAAAGGGAAGTTAGGTCTCAGGCCTGGCTCTGCAGGGTGACATGGTACAACTTCTGATACCTCAACTGCCTCATGTATATAAGAGGACAAGGATACCTAACTATGTCTGATAGAAGAGCCGGTACAGCGCCTGGCAATTGGTGGGATCTCGAGGGTTGTAGGTGTGGTGATCAGTGACCACAAAATTGTCTTATTTCCTGAGAAAAACAGTCAGGGGTCTAGGGGCCTCAAGGTAAGCGTGCCCGTGTGTGTCATCAGCACAACAACTCAGGCTTCTGAGCAGAAGAACTCACTTCGCTCAACCCATCTCTAATGATGAGTTTCATATTTTTGTTCATTTCCAGACCCAGAGAAGGGGCACCTGGGGTTTAGCATAGTCTGAACTCCAGACGCTAGATGCTTTTCAGAGAACCAGTAAGCCCAGCTCTCTGTGCCAAGCTGGACCAGCGCTTTCCCTCACTATAAAGAGAAAGGAGTTACTTTTGTGAAATGTTCTGCTTCTGTGCCCACTCTTCAGGAAACGGTCCCCACATCCACGCAGGCAGCTGCGTGCCAAAGCCAGCTGGCAGCGGAGGATGAAGGAAGTGGGAAGTCACCAGTAGAGCCTTGTAGTTGGCATCTTGTGGCTTACCCATGCTCTCACACACGCCCTTCCTGCTAAGGCTGCTCCAGTGTACATGCTTGGAGACTTTGTCTGATTGTTTTTACGTGTGTGTCACGGGTTTTCCTGAAGGGTAGAAGATGACCTTCCTTTCCCTTGTTTGAGACAGTGCCTTGTTCATCTCTGCAGATCCCATGCTAGCAGGCTTGTGAGCCAGTAGAAGTTATCCTGTCTCCACTGCCCTTCTCATTAACCAGGAGTACTGCTTACAGGGCACACACCATTGCTTCCAACTCTGCCTGGGCTCTGGGGATCTGAACTCAGGTCCTCACATGCGTGTGGCAACTGCTTTACCCACTGGGCCATTTCTCCAGGCCATTGTCTGGTTGTTTTCATAAATCTTGCAGAAGAGGCCTTAGGGGCCATCTCACTGCATGCCATCACCTCACTATACACCCTAGAAAAATCTCCCACAGCTCGGGAAAATTAAGGGAGTTCAGGAAAATCAAGTCTGAGTTGCATAGTGAGCTACAGAGCTGCTTGCGACTCAAGTTTCCTGACCATGAGCAAGAGCAAAATACAACAGAATTTGAACACATCTCCCTGCACCTGTGGTATTGCTGTCTGCGCTTTGAGCTCCCAAAACTGAGGGCAGGTTTTTGTTGTTGTTGTTTTGTTTTGTGTTTAACTCTACCTGTCTTAAAACTACACTAAAACATTTGGGTAACCCACGCTGCCCTCGTGCCCTGACTCTCCAGGACAAGCCGTTCAGTCCCGCTCCCATGAGCACCAGAGGTGCCTCTGCCATCTTGATCTCTGATGGTATGCAGAGAGTTCCCTGCCTGCCTAAGCTCCAAATACACAGATGAGAATTTCACTCAGGAACACAGCACACCGCCGGTTTGTTGGCAAGTTGCCTTTCGTCTGCAAGCCTCCCTACTGTGTTTTCCGATTATGTTGCGTTTTGTAAAACTGGCTCTATGTGGTGTTTTAAGAATTTCCCAGTGGGTGTGAAAAACACCCAAAACATGGCTGCTTATGATAGGATTGGAACTGTGGAATCCAGCATGGTTCTCTGTGAAAACAGTACTTAACAGAAACTGTGTGTGTGTGGTGGGGGTGGGGGGTGGGGAATCAATCAGATCATATTCCACTTAATCTATGGAGCACCAGATGCCACTCATGTCCCAACCTCAATGCGTGGCACCTTGGGTTTGCCATTTGGCTGCACCCTTGGGATCCTCCTCTGCTTCCTGAGTTGTGGGTTCCCTTTCCCACTCACCCTGAACCCTGACGAGGTTCAGGGATCGATGGTCACAAGAGCCAGAGAGGGTCAGACTCAGCTCTGGAGATCAGTGCTGGGACCATGGCCCTGGCTTCCAGAGAACAGCAGCTCTGGGTGGTGCCACCTGCGGGCTTGACCATGGAGCTTACCCCAGAGGCAGCCTGGATGGGTGATCCCCAATGCCAGGTGCCCCCTGGTGGTGGTCATCTGAAGGGCTCTCCCAGGACTCTGGATGACAGTCTACCTTTTAAACACCCATTCTTTGGTGAGGAGGAAGGTGTGCATTTTAAATCTTCCTGTGAAATACCCAGAGAGAGTCCTAGAAACAGCTGTCTCTGTTTTAACAGATAGGACAGTATGCTGCTGCAGTGATATTAAGTGGGGATAAATTGAATATTAAATGCAAGAGAGGATCGGGAAATGACGTAGTGGTGCTCCTAAGGCCACACTTTTGTTCCAGCATTGTCTCCGGCCAACTTGTCCCAGTGGCTTTGATGCTGGGTTTGACACACCACAGGCAAATCTTCCCTTTTCCTTAGGTTGCACCACAGAGCACTTCTTCCTGGAATCCTTGCAGTGTTCTCAAGAAACCTGAACCGGAGACTTGTAAATGCTGCAACAAGAAGCCAGAGACCCTGGACTGCCCCATGCCCCATGCCCCATGGTCACTGGCTCTGTGATAGAGAATTCCCAAGGCCCCTGGGAACCTAGTCACGGCAGGCTTCCCACTCGAGGTCACCTGAGCAAGATGCCATCATTGACCCCACTCCCATACACATCGCTAAGTTTTCTTCCTAAAAGAGATCTGGGTTCCAGGATGGCCCCTGTGCTTCAGTTCCCTGGTCCCAGCGCCTGAGGATGTTCTGCCTTCTATTAGGCTTACTTTTTATCCAGGGAAGCCCATACCACAGGCACACCCTCCTTGCGTAATCCTGAAAAGCAAGCAAATGGAGAGATTTCTGAAAGAGCGCCATTCTTACTGGGACAATTGGGACAATTACTCTTTTTTCGGTACTTTCCCACCATGCTTCTGTCTCTGAATGCCCTCTCTAAAATGTCAGTCTCCTCCACAGCACTAGACTGAACATTAGAACTGAACAAGAGGACAAATAAAGAAAATGGTCCTGGGCAGAGAATGAGGTCCATCTGGACTCTAGGGGATACCTACCTAACTGTCGCATATTCCATAGGGCTTTTATAGCATACACAGCCCTGTGACACCTGATGACATACGAGGAAGGCAAGCCTCCAGAGAGGAG